CAGGTCTTTTCTATCTTTTATCTGTTAATTGGCCTACTTCCAATTTCCTTCTTTAAATACCCTTAGGATGACTTTGCTTAATTGAGTCTCTCACCAAGTTTTCTTCAAAATGGGTTTTCCTTCCACTGTTTCTCACTTTTAAAAAGAAACAATACTTCTCATTATCTTCTGCTATCTTCCTCTTTAATATTTTACAAATAAGTCTATATTTTAAACTGGTTTTTGCTGTGGCTGCCATATCTCTCCTGTTGATAAGCAAGCCACATATTTGCTAAGGCAGTTTTAAAAATTGTTATAAAACTTGTAAAGGTCAGTATCCTTTTCTCCACACATTTCTCATTTTTCAGCATCAATACCTTATGCAAATAGATCAAGTTGAAGTTGTTTTAGTTGAAGACCATATCTTTTTCTCATTTTTAATTCTTTCTTCTAACTTTGCATCAATTTGCTCTTTGCTCTAACAAATTATTGACCCAACTGCAGATTGCATATTCAGAACTTATTCCCATATCAGTAACTACATATTCTTGTATATTAAAATATAAGCAATTTCTTTCCCTTTTTTTCTGGTAATGTTACTGAGTGCTCATCATGTCCTGTGCTAACTCTTTTTTTTCTTTTTGAAATATGTGTTGTTTATTATTTTAAAAATAATAATCATTAACATTTTATTGTGCTTTAAGGTTTACAAAGTACTTTATGTACATTATCTTATGTGAACCCCACAGCAATTTCATGAGAAATGTAAACCAGATATTATTATTCCTCTTTTATAGATAAGGAAACTGAAGCTGAGACAAATCTTAGTAAAGAGTCACATAGCTGGTACACATCAGAACTGGAACTAAACTCAGGTTTTCATATTTCAAATCTACATGCAACTTGTTCTACTATATCACAGCTGCCTATTTTATTTTTTTTTAATTTTTTGGCAATTGAGGTTAAGTGACTTGTCCAGGGTCACACAGCTAGTAAGTGTCAAGTGTTTGGTCTGAGGCCAGATTTGAACTCAGGTCCTCCTGACTTCAGGGCCAGTGCTCTATCTACTGCACCACCTAGCTGCCCCATAGCTGCCTATTTTACTCAGAATGTAATGAAAAGTAATTTTTTTTCTTTTATTAAGTCTTTCACACTACCTCACCCCCAATGTGCAAATTTTAAAAAAAAGGAAAGAAGGCTTTTAATACATACAAATCTAGTAAAACAAATTTTCACGGTGGCTGTGTCTGAAAATGTTTGTCTCTTTCTACGTTTTAGGTTCATCCCATCTTTGTCAGGAAGCACATGGTGTGTTTCAACTTTATTCTTTTGGACTTAACAGCTCATCCTTGAATTGAGGCAGCTAAATGGCGCAACTGAAAGAACATTGGACTTGAGGTCAGGATGACTTAACTTTTAAATCTAGCCTCAGGTATTTACTAGCTGTGTGACCTTGGACAAATCACTTCATATCTGTCTGGCTCAGTTTCCTCTACTATAAAATGGGGATAATAGTTGCACTTATCTCTCTGGTTTGTTGTGGAGCAAAAGAGATAACACATGCAAAGTGCTTTGCGAATCTTACAAATTTTGGTATATAAATGCAGAAAATAATTAATAGTAATAGTAAAAAAATATGCAAATGTAACAAAAATGTTCTATTATGATGATGACTAGAGTTCTAAAGTATTTCAAAGTTGCTTTTCTCTATAATGTGGGTACTGTATAAATTGTTCTGATTCTGCTTATTTTGTTATGTATCAGTTTACAGAGATCTTCCAAGTTTTCTCTGAAACTAGCCATTTCAACATTTCTTATGGCACAATAATGTTCCACTGTACTTATATACTAAAATTTGTTTAGTCATTCTCCAATAGGTGAATACCCCTTAGTTTTCAATTTTCAATCTTCTTTCTTTGCTAGTCTGATGAGGGTTAGTTAAGTGGAACCTCAAAGATGTTTTAATTTGCATTTCTCTAGTTATTAATGATTTAGAGCATTTTTCACATGGTTGTTGATATGGTTTTTCATATAATTGTTGAATCATCAAAATCAATCAATAGATTTTTTTAGACAATTGGGGTTAAGCGACTTGCCCAGGGTCACACAGCTAGTAAGTATCAAGAGTTTGGTCTGAGGCTGAATTTGAACTCAGGTACTCCTGACTTGGTGCTCTATCAACTGCGCCACCTAGCTGCCCCTTCAATAGATATTTATTAAGCCCCTACCATGTTCAGGAACATAGTAAGTACTTAATTGGATTTGTTCCCTTGAAAATTGTCAATTCATATCCTTTGACCACTTATCATTAGTAATAGACCCTTAGTCTTATAAATTTGAATCAGTTTCTTTTATCTCATAGATATGAGGCCTTTATCAGAGAGATTTGCTGCAAAGATTTTTCCCCTGAAAAATTTTCTTTCTAATTTTAGCTTCATTGGATTTATTTGTGCAAAAACATCAATTTGTAATCAAAATTGTCCATTTAATCTTATGTAATCCTATCACTTTAATCATGAACTCTACCCCTATCCATAGACCTGAAAGAACACTTTCTCCTTGCTTTTCTAATTTGTTTATTCTTTGACCTTTTATGTCTCTGTCATGTATCCATTTGGAGTTTATTTTGGCATGTGATATAAGGTATTGGCCTAAACCTAATTTCTGCAAGATTACTGTCCATTTTCTCAGCAGATCAAATAGTATTTCACCCAGTAACTAGAATTTTTGGGTTTATTGAATATAATTGTGTTTATTCACTTCTGTATGCTATGTCCCTAAGCTCTTCCACTGATTTTTTAATGACTGCAAATCATTTTAATGATTATTGTTTTATAATACAGTTTGAAAGGCAGTATGATTCTTTTCTCAAAGAAAGTATTCATGATGTAAAGCATAAATCTTCTGGGTCATCTATGTCTTTACCTTCTCTCATTCTTTACTATTAAACCATGTTTTTCATTGTCCTTACCTTTTCCCAAGATGACCAGATGACCAACTGCAATATGGCACCACGAAAGGAGTGCTGAATTTGGCATTAGAGGTCCTAATCTCAGCTATCCTACTTATTACTTCTGTGACCATAGTGAGCCATTTAATGTCTCTGGGCTTCAGTTTCCTCATCTGTAAAATGAGCAAATTGGACTCTAAAGTCCCTCACAGCTCTAAATCTAGGATGCTACAACCCATAGAAGAATGCCTTTGACCACAACAGTAAAGCTATGCTTCAAAGAATCCTGCAGTTTTCAAACTATCTATAAATATGAGCTTAAACATTGATACCCCAAATGTGAAATACCTGTCCAATGACATTTTAAATATCCATTGGACATTTTAAAGTGGAACTGAATCATATCAATGTTGACATTTTCCTTATAAACTAAACCAGAAGACAGAAGGAAGTTCTCACTTAATGGAAAGATAGCTCATAGTTTCTCTTTTGAAAAACAACTAAAGAGTTGTTTTTATCCTGTGCATAAAGGGAGCAATAAATATATCCTGGGATAAAGGTTCAAATAGTCTACCACTGTGTTAGGTGCTTGAGGTCCAATGGGAAAGATTCATTATGCATAAATAAATAAATATTATAAATATATATATTATGTATGTATGTGTGTGTGTGTGTGTGTGTGTGTGTGTGTATAAAGAGGTCAACTCTTGAAGCTCCAACTCTTCCTAGACTTCCTTCTATGTTTCTCTCTCTTTGAGGTGAGCAGTGGATTCAACCACAACAGGACTCAGTGGCTGTTTTTTGTCATAGCCCATGAATATACACACTAATTTGCAGTTCAGTTCAGTTGTTTTTTGAGTCATGTCTGACTCTTTGTGGGTTTTCTTGGCAATGATACTGGAGCGGTTTGCCATTTCCTTCTCCAGCTCATTTTACAGATGAGGAAACTGAGGCAAGGAGGGTTAAGTGACTTTGCCCCTGGTCGCACAACCACTAAACGTGTGAGGCCCAATTTGAGTTCGTGAAGCCACTGCAGCCCAATAAATTAATACATTAATGATCTGTAATTTCATTGGTTTGGGAACTCCCTCCATCTAGGCAGCTTAAAACCTAACTCTAATTAAGTAGATAAATCTTAAAGAGATCTTTGAACCCCAGAGAGTTTAAGTGGCTTCCCTCAGATAAAGAGAACAGGGCTCTGGCTGATTGCAATCCTAACACTCACCTTAGTACTTCAGGCTTCTAGTCTGCTGCTCTATGTAGAGCAGCTAATTCCGCAGATTGAAATAGCTCATTTCCTGGTCAGTGCTTTTTCATCAAGAGTTCATGAGCTCAGCCTGATTAATTTAGAGGTAATGATTCTGCACCCAGCCACAAGGGCTTAATGTTATTATCTGGTAACTTAATCCTAGAGACAATAGCACCTTTTGAGAGTGAGTAAAGGATTCTGTTCTTCCTCTGTCTTGGGTGTGGTGGCTTTCCTTGACCAACTAGGAGGTGTGCATTGGAAGGGGCCAGAGGAATAGGTAGTCCCAGGGAAAAGCAGTTTGTTTTGCTGATGCAGCCAATCCAGCATTTAATTGGCCAGTGGGAAAGGTTGTAAGATATGGTCTATTTGCCTTGGGTTTCTCCTCCCCCTAGAGTACTAAATTTGCTCTATACTACCTGAGGTTTTTACTCTTTGTAACTAACAGTGCTAAATTTGTACTATGCCTGAGTTTGCACAATAGGAGGGGCTGGGCGTATTTCATAACTTCCTTGGAGAGCAATATTTTTCAAAGCAAATAGCCCCCTGAGTTGGTCCATCTAGAAATGCTGAATGTGTTCAGCAGGAATCTCAGTAGATAAGGCATTAATAAGTGCCTGGGCAATGAGTTGACTTACTGAATCAAATGATTTGCTGACACTTCCCTTCTGCCTCAGGTGCTTGAGGTAGAGTGTCAAAGGTTCACTATAAATAGCTGAAGTTAGCCCTTAGAGCTCCCACTCTCCTCAGACTGCCATATCTCACTGACTACTTGGCAAAGACTTTGCTTGGGCTAGTAGAATCAGGTCCTAGGAAAATCACACCATGGTGAGGCTTGTGCTACCTAATCCGAGCTTGGAGAATAGGATAACGACACTTGACGAACTTGAGACCATTGAAAAAGAAGAGGAAGCATCAAGACCCAAATGGGACAACAAGGCTCAGTACATGCTAACCTGCATCGGATTTTGTGTGGGGCTAGGAAATGTGTGGCGATTTCCTTACCTCTGTCAGAACCATGGAGGAGGTATGTAGTTTCGGTTTATTCTATGTAGCCCGTGGGAGGAGTGGGGCCAGTGGCAGCTGCTGAGTTAAACAGCACAATGGGCGGGCAGACTTTTTTACAAAACTCAAATGCACTTTCAGCTCTAGACTAAAAGCTCCATGAGGGCAGGAATCATTCTCATCTAACCTTTAAATCTCCACCAGTGCCTAATACAATGCGCCTCTGCCCAAGTGGGTGTTGGATAAGTGTTAGCTGAAATGAATTGAAGTCGACACTATGCCCAGGGTTTAAGTGTATATGTACAGGACAGGCAAAAATGATGGGAGAGTATCCACTGCCATCTCTGTAGCTCACTCGGCTTCCCCTGGGGTTTCTACCATTATGTTGGGGGAAGAGTAGATCTGGCAGGCTCTATATACTCAATGTAGTATGATTGCACACACTTTTATTCTTCTGATTCTTTCCTACTCTCTCCTCCATTAGATTGCAGGGGACAGAACTAGAGAAGATAGGTGGGGATAAAAGCATTTGATCCCAAACTTTTACTTTTTATTTATATAATTTATCAAGTAAGGATTTTTGTCTGTAGTTCTTGTCATCATTTCCCAAAAATATTTTACCTTCAGAAGCAATATGACCCTTGATAGAATGCTGGCTTAGGAGTCAGAAAGACCTGGGCTTAAGTCCTTTCTCTGACACTAGTCAGCTCCCCAGTCAACTCCCTGAGCTGCAAAGTTAGAGATAAGTTGCCAGTTTGTGTGTGTGGAAAAGTTTTCATACCAGAAGTTCCCTTGCATGATTAAAATCATAGGTCTGAACAGCAACCAAAAAAATGTGTTTAAGGCTGCAATGATAATGCATTCTGAGCTTCTAGCATGGATCATAAAGTCTTTTTTTTTTCATAAAGACTTTATGTGCCAAAAGAACTTATTTCCTGAATGAATCTCTTTTGCCTGAAAGAGTGATTGCAGCTCCCAAAGTGCCAGGGTGATATTTCCTCAAGGGAGCTCCCGATATTCTGGAAGAATTGACTCATTTTGCATTCTCATGTCTCCTGTGGGCTTGGACAGACACAAGCTGTAATATGCTCTCTTAGGAAAGTAAATTCTCCCTCCACATCCCCTTTCCTTTTTTCCCTATAGGCCTTCCTGCTTTTCCCCATGTGGTCAAGAAACATTTACTAATCACCTATTTTGTGCTAAGTTCTGAGGATATAGAGATATAAAAGAAAGAACATATGATGAAGGCTGAAGAGAGATGCAAAGTACTCCAGGAAAATGCAACCCGTTTAAATGTTAACATACTTATTTCACCTTTTGGATCCTGTAAGGCTACTAATAATGTGAGGATGTATACTTTCTATAAAGAACACCAATAGGATTCTACTTTAGTGAGGAAAATTTGCACCTGGGGGAAGGAGCTGCAGCATATAACATACACAAGAAAAGTCTGGGCTTATAAACCACTACAGTTTAGGTTTTATGATAGAAATGTGCATTGCAACTGCTGCTCTCCTAGCTTTGTACTGCCTTTTCCTGAGGCTACAGTTCCTAAAGTGTGATCTGAGGACCCCTGGGGATCCTCAAGTCCCTTTCAGGTAGTCTATGAGGACAAAATTATTTTTGTAGTAATACTGACATTTTGCCAACTACGAATCTGTGTGAGGCCAGATTTTTTTCATATACTTTAGCCAAAACAACATATCACAACAGATTGAATACAAAAAGCAGATATGAGAACCTAGTTGTTTTCCTCAAAGCCAGACATTAGAGAGATTTGCAAATATATGTAAAACAATGCCATTTTTTCGCTAAATTTTTTTTTTTGGAAAATATAATTAGTTTTATAAAACATGTGTTATTTATGTTACTTATATTTATTATTTTAAATTGAATAATGCATACTTTAAAATATATTAATACTAATTTCTAATATGGCAAATGTCAACAGTTTAAATCATATATTTTTTAAAAAGCTCTTTGAGGTCCTATGTAATTTTTAAGAGCATAACAAGGTCCTGAAACCAAAATGTTTGAGAACCACTGTTTTAAGGAATCCAGAGGCTAATTTTACAAATGTACACATTTTTCTTCCTCTAGCAGTGGTCTTATCACATACTTGTGAGCCATGATTTCAGAAAGCTTGATAGATGAGAAACCAAACTGAGTAATGACAAACGAAATTGAGGGTGATCACAGTCTACAGAGGGATTCTTCCCTTTGCAAAAGGTCCATTAAAGGCTCAACTAGCAACCTCTTCTGTGTGGTATTTTAGGTAGCATTCTATTTGCAAAGAACCCATTAACAGACACCTTAGAAACACCTTTATCATGCTATTTGTTACCTATGTATCAATGGACAAGGCCTCTGCACCTTGTACAAGGCACCTCCCATCTCTGTGCCTCCATTCCCTCTTCTGTTAATGGTAGGGATTGAACCAGTTCATCTCTAAGGCTGCTCATGACTCTAAATTCATTGAATGAAAGTAGTAGAGTCACTTCTGTACATTACTACCAGATATACTGGCATTGTTGTGTTGTTTGGTACAAACAATTATTTAAAGAATTTTAAGGTCAATTCTGACTATTTGAAAGACTGGTAAAGTCAAGTCTCTGGGTTTGTTTGTTTTTAAGAAATAGAAAAAGGGGCTGAACCTAAAAGTGGTTTTTTTTAAAATTTTATAAATTTTAAAAATTGTAAACTTAAATGCAAAATGAGAAAAAAACCCCAACATTGCCATGTACACAGCAGACTATAAGACAAGATTCGATACAAAACAATAAATTTCCATTTCAAGAAAACCTATATAATAAATACTACACATTGTTTTCAAAGCTGCCTTGCTTTTCTTTGCTTCCTTGTTGGTTTTCTTTTGTTCTCTGCTGTGCACTTCTTACTTTATCCCTTCCCCCTTCCCCAGAAGGTTACAATTAAGTGTGGAGATATACATACACACACACACACACCAATAGGATTCTACTTTAGTGAGGACACACACACACACACACACACACATATATATGTATGTATATGTATATATATATATACACACAAAGATATCTATAAACACACCCATGTACACACACACACACATATATGTATGTGTATATATATATATACACAAAGATATAGATAAACACATACACGTACACACACACACACACACACACACACATATATATATATGTATATAAAGACCATACTATGCTTATTTCCTCCTATCATCTGTGTCTCTGAAGGTGGATAGCATCTTGTTTTATGAGTCCAGGTCTTTCCATGTTTTTCTGAATCAGCTCATCATTTGCTATACCACAGCAATATTCCTACCCAATCACATCTTATCTGAAAGATTGTCTATGAAAGTCTTTTTCCCAATTTTCTGTATTCCTTCTGTTCTTGGCTACATTGGTTTTATTCATACAAGAGCATTTTAATTTAAAATAATTGAAATTATCCTTTTTGTATTTCAACAAAGTTCTTGCTTTATAGTACAGCTTAAGGTCTGATACTGCTGAATCTACTTCCTTTACTTCTTTTTTTCCCTAGTTTCTCTGAAGCTCCTGACCTTCTGTTCTTCCAAATGAATTTTGTTATTATTTTTTCTAACTTGGTCAAAATTTTTTTTTAATAATGTATTTGGGATGACATTGAATAAATATATTAGGTAAAATTGTCATTTTAAAAATTACATTATCTTTACCTACCTGTGGACAATAAATATTACTTTAATTATTTAAATCTGTTTATATAAAAATGATTTATGTTCATATAGGTCCTGTGTCTGTTTTGGAGGGTATGTGCTCAGGTATTTTATACTGTCTAGGTATTTTAAATGGTCTAAAACAATATTGAATAATATTGCTGACACAAGATGTAGTTTCTCTATTTTTCACTTTGGATTAAATCTATTTTAACTTTAACTTTATCCCAGCTCATTATTACTATCCCTGCTTTTTTTTACATACTAAATTCTACTCCTGTCCTTTATTTTATCTTTGTGTATATCTCTCATTTTTATAATGTTTCCTGAAAGCAACATATTATTGAATTCAAAATTTTAATCTGCTATCCATTTCTATTTTCTGGGCAAATTCATCTCATTCACATTCTAAGCTACAATTACTTGTTGTGTATTTTCCTCTTTCTTATTTTTCTTCATTATCCTTTTTACCTTATTTACCCTTTCCCTCCTCACTCCTTTACTTCCTACCTTGCCCTCCTATTCCTTAACCTATCCACCCTTCTAAGAGTCTCTCCCTTATCTCCTCCTCCCACCTATACCCTTGCCCTCTTACATCTTTCTGAATTTAGAAGATTTTTATACCCTTATATATATATATATATATATATATTGTTCCCTCTTTATCTCATTCCCAATGAGAGTAAGATTTCAGCACTACCCACCCTACCCCCTACTAGCTTCTTCTGTATCATTTTTTCCTTTTATGCCTCATTTGTATGAGATAATTACTCTTTTTTTATCTTTCCCTACACTACTTTATTTTTTTTTTAGAATCACCCCATCTTACTCAGCTCAATCCACACCTTTTTTTCAAACTACCCATATAATGATGACAGTCATAAAAGCACTACTAATACTTTCACATATATGAAGTAAACCATTTGACCTTATTGAGTCCCTTATAATTGGTCTTTAATGTTTACTTTATATTTCTCCTGGATGTTATATGTCAAATTTTCCCTTAAGTTCTAGGGATTTTGTCACAAAAAAGTCTTTGAGTTCATTTAAGTTCCTTTTTTTTTTTCATTCAGGATTTTACTTAATTTTGCTGGGTAAGTTACCCTTGGTCATAATCCCAGCTCTTTTGCTCTATGCTCCTTCAATATGCCTTGCCCAAGGTCAAACAGGTAGTGTCAAAAGTAAAATTTGGACCCAGCTTCCTCAACCTAAAGCCAGTTTTCCTTCCACGGTATCACAATGCCTTTCCCATACTAATGAATAACAATGAAGAGTCATGATCTTTAGACATAACTCAGTGGTCTTATGAAAACATTTGGAAC